TGCGTCTATCAACACTTCCTAATAATGTTTTTTGTACTAATAATGTTGTTTGTAAAAATCCAGCAGATAGAATTCATGGATTATTCTCCATCAACGACTCACTTGAGTCTATATGGAATAAATATAATTTATTAACCAAAGTTATTAATGTTACCCCTCCTCCTAAAAATTAATTTTATGTATGGAGTTTTCAAATAAATAAATAAATAATTCATTTTTAATTTGTTAGCAAGTTCTTGTAGAAATTTACAAGAAATCCTGAAGAAAGCAAACAAAAAATTCCCAGAACAGTATTTTTATAAGCCAATCCAAATATTATCTTGCTCTGTATCACTGATAACTTTCTAGACAGTTTTTGTATATAGAATCGAATGATATTCTATTCAGATATAGTATGTACTGTATTATGTCGTAACTCACTGAGAACGATGAAAATAATTAATTGACAAGACTATATCTCGTCTCTAAAATCACACTGTTGTCAATGGCTGCACACCTTAGAGGTAAGAAGGAGTACATGTCAGGAGTTGCAATTTGGCACAGAGTATTGGTGCCCAAATCATGTGCACATAAAATAAACCAGACTTGTAGGTAGTCAGGAGATCGAGAACTGGGTCAAAATAAAATACAGAATGCTGAGACTTTCTATAAACAGCAAGATTTGCGCAAGTTTCTACAAGATGAGTGCGAGATTTGCACATGCATTGCTTGCACTCTCTGAGACAGTCTTGTCCCAAGAATAGCTTTGCTGTTTTACTTATTTTTATTATAAAATGCATGCTAGCAATATGTTTTAATATATTTCTGATTTTTCGATATTTAAATGAGTGTCAGGAATTTTCTGGAATACTTAACATTGAAATGTGTTAATTGTTAGATTTTTAATCATTTTTCAATGTGATCACACTTAACTATGAGAAATAAGCAAAGTTATATTTAAATTTAAAAATCATTTAGACAGAATATGCAATATAACGGTAGTAAAGTAAACCAATCTACACCTACACTACAGTTGCTTACAAAAGTCATCAGACACATGAATATAGGGAAGAAATTATAACAAGAACTGTTGATTTATTGACAAATTTGATTAAAATCTGTTTTTTTATTTGGTTTGTAAGAACAATAAAAATTATAGCATATCATATTTATTTCAATTAAGGATTCCAATTTAGGAAAAAAAATAGAGAAACAAAATGAGAAACAAACTCTAGCTAACAAAAGTCATCAGACAGCTAATGTTTATTGCAAATTAAAAATCAATTATATATAGCAATAAATATTTTAAAACTTGTTGAGTTGCCTTTCTTTCCAATACAGTTTTTCAATCTGTTTGTCATTGATTTCATTAGTTTTTCTGTGATATTTATCTCAATTTTGCCCATTCATATTTGAGAGCACTTGTCAGTTCATTTTTGTTACAAAGATTTAGAAACATATTAGTATCTAGTTCATTCCATAAATGTTCAATTACATTTAAGTCAGGAGACTGTGCTGGTGTCTCAATCACTTTTGGGCAATTATACAGTAGCACTGTTGAACTTTATAGTTGACCCCCCCATAACACTGTTGATAATTCCGTGTTATATGAATTCCATGTTGTATGAGTCACTTAGATTTTACAAATACATGAGCCGTTCACAGCCTGGCACATGTATTTGTAAAATCTAAGTGATTTGTACAACATGGAATTCATATAAAACGGAATAATCAACAATGTTATAGGGGGGTCAATTGTATAAGATTTGTGCTTTGTATCATTATCCTGATAAAAATGCAAAGTATTTGAGATACCCAGTTTTTCTTTAGATTTTGTTTTAAAATATTTAAATATTCTTCTGCAACACAAGTCTTCCAACTCCAGAGGCTGCCACACATGTCCATAGCATAACACATCCTCTTCCATGTTTTACTGTTGGCACAAGATTTNGATAAGTACAGCTTTTGCTTAAGTCTGTAAGAACTAGAGGAGCCACCTTGTTCGCGGACTAGTTATTTCAGTGTAATTACTATTAAAATAAATTTTAAACACTACTGGAAGTGCGTGTTGCAGATGAGAAGATATTATTGATGTATAAATATGAAGAAAGAATGGATTCTTATAACATGAAATAAATATACGAAGCCAGGATTAAGTTTGCCAAATTCAAGAAACTTAATTGAAAGTTCCTGTTTTTTTTTTTTTTTTTACTTCTTTAGCTAAAAAAAAAAAGATATGACAATATGATTCACTTCTTTCAAAGATCCAAATCTTGTAAATGCATTTGATACATTCGATTTGTAGAAGAAAACATATAAAAAAAAAGTTATTAAAGCAAGAAACTATACTTAAAGTATTTAATTTTAGAAAAATAAAATAAAAAAGACAATTTATTTTTTGATTAAGTTTTAATATACTTTCTAGTTCAGCAATTTTTTATTTTATATCCAATATTTGTAGTTTTAAATTTAGGATTAGATTGATGAAATAAACGACCATCTGTCAAGAGGGTGCCTCCCGTGAGGACTTTCTATTGGGACTCGTCCCTATTTTGGTGATGAAAACCCGGAAAACTCCACGTGGCTAGTCTAGTCTTTGATCAGAAGTAAACTCGCAACCAATTAGAAAGAAGTTTTGTACTTTAGTTATAATACAGTTAAACCTTTCAACAACGGCCACTGACAGAAGTATAAAAATGGTCGTTATTAAAAGTGGCCGTTGTTTAGAGGTTNCAATTTTGCCCATTCATATTTGAGAGCACTTGTCAGTTCATTTTTGTTACAAAGATTTAGAAACATATTAGTATCTAGTTCATTCCATAAATGTTCAATTACATTTAAGTCAGGAGACTGTGCTGGTGTCTCAATCACTTTTGGGCAATTATACAGTAGCACTGTTGAACTTTATAGTTGACCCCCCCATAACACTGTTGATAATTCCGTGTTATATGAATTCCATGTTGTATGAGTCACTTAGATTTTACAAATACATGAGCCGTTCACAGCCTGGCACATGTATTTGTAAAATCTAAGTGATTTGTACAACATGGAATTCATATAAAACGGAATAATCAACAATGTTATAGGGGGGTCAATTGTATAAGATTTGTGCTTTGTATCATTATCCTGATAAAAATGCAAAGTATTTGAGATACCCAGTTTTTCTTTAGATTTTGTTTTAAAATATTTAAATATTCTTCTGCAACACAAGTCTTCCAACTCCAGAGGCTGCCACACATGTCCATAGCATAACACATCCTCTTCCATGTTTTACTGTTGGCACAAGATTTTTATTCAGTTTACAATGTGGCTTCCTCCACACCATGATTTGACTTTTGGAGCCAAAGATGTTAAATTTGCTTTAATCTGCAAATATTACATGCTTCCACTATTCATAATCTTTATCCAACATGTTTTTTGCAAACTGGTAGTGAGCTTTCTTATTTTTTTTATTAAAAAAAAATGTTCTCACCACTCTATCATTATATCAACTTCCCTTCATGACTCTTACTGTTTGTGGTTGAACATGAACTCAAGTGTAATTTTCTAACTCAGCTGCTAGTTTTGGTGCACTTGTTTTAGGATTAATTTTTATTTTTTGGATTATACTGCACCTATCTTATACTGTTAACAATGCAGTGCATCCAGATCTTCATTTATTCACAATTCTATGTTCATCTCTGTATCTTTTTATATTATGTACCATTGAGCTGCTGCTTCTTACAATATTACTAATATCTCTAACTGATAGACCTAACTTCCAGTGGTCTATTATTAATTTTCTGATATCTAATGTAGTTTCCCTATGAACTTTTTCCATTTTTACCAAATGATAGTAGTGTGAGAGAAAAAAACTTCAAGGTCATTATAACTGATATGACCATTACAGACTACCATAGAATTATGGATAAATTTCATAAAAATCACAAATAATATCATCGTTAAGCTGTCCTGTTAATTTTGTGACTTTAATATTATAGGATGCTAATTACTTTAGTTCTTTTGTGTCAATTTTCTTGTTATATTGTCAATAATGTAGTAGTATATAGTTAATTTAATTATAATAGAGGAGGTAACAGGAAAGTTTCATTTAGTAATACTTTTATTTTAAAATTAGTAGTATAAATTACTTTAATGACAAAAGTGTCTGATGACTTTTATGACTCACTGTATGTTGCCATCTAATTTAGTATTTTCTGTTTGATACAATTATGGTCAGCACTTGCTTTGTGAATTTGGTTTAATAAATATAAATTTTTATTATCATTTATGAAATATCACATTTAAATACTGTATATTTGTTGACCATCTTTGTGATACTGTATATAGTATACTCTTGCTAATCTGGTCTTTCAATTATTCAGCATACTGTAGTGGCCTATGTGCTTCTGTTTTCATGATAATGTAAGTCACACATTCTATTTTCCTGTTTACTCTGGATTCATTTCTGTGTACAGTTTCCACATCAGTGTGCCATATTACTTGCCTCTGAAAAGAATGAATACTGGAGGGCGACAGATCATATCAGTCATTATCTTTAGAAGGCTTTTAATCTAACATTCTCACTTATCTGGCAATCCTCTGGGAAGCAATAGTCAAATTAGAAAGATTCTAGTTTAGTTTAAATTGTATTTCTAGGAATAACAATCTTAATTTATGACATTAAATCTAATATATATTAAACTCTAATTTAAGATTGTTTTCTATGAATCAATTTTGCATAAAAATGTAAACTACTATATTTCTAACTTTTATGTTTTTAATCAAGCTTAGTTGTAATATGTTATTTTTTGAATAACTTTATTTGAAAAATTTGCACAACTTTTAATACTAAGTATTTTTGCAATATGACAATTATAACCTTATTCTCTCTTTCCAGCAGTTAATTTCAGTCTTGTACTAATGTTTCCAATTTGCTTGAAGTCTTCCTCAGGTCTTTACCATTTCAAATTAAAATTGTTTAAGAGATTCTAGTTCTGAATGCTTTTTAAGAATTTTTTTTATGTAGAAGTAAAAAGAATTCTTAAAAAGCAACTTTGCATTAGCATTTTCTCAAGGAAGTCAAAAATATTAGTGCAAGTCTGAATTCATTATCTGTTGGAAAGAGTGAGTAAGATTATAATTTTGTCATATTGTGAACTGAAGTTCCAGAAATAAAAATTATTTTAATTTTATTATATTTGGAATAAGATTAAAATATCTTAAATTTANATATATAAAATAAACAGGTTTTAAAGTATAATTTAAGGCTATACATTTAAAAGAAGTTAGAAAAAAGAAATGTTTTGAAGTATATAACATTACAGTGACATCGTGACGCGAACGAAATATATAATTCATCACAGATTTCTTTCTCTGCGTGACACTAATTCCAATTACATGACGACAATTTAGGTGTGTGTGTGTGTGTGTGTGTGCGAATTTTGTCAATTTTCTCAAACTTCCTAAGGGATTTAAGTTTGAGTGCATTTGTTGAAAGATTTAAGTTTTTGATATAAAGTACTGTATTATGTGTAGAATATGAAATATGTATAGTTTAGAATTTCCATATAGAATGATGGAAAATAATGCATTTATTATTAGAAACCGATAAAATCCCATGGATGGTTTTTGAATATATGATGTATGGAGATCTAGCGGAACTTTTACGAAGTAATAATCCGATTTTGCCAAGACCAACTGAACATATACCTTACCATTTACAGCAGGTAGGAATTACTTTAACTATATTCACTCCTAAGTATCTATAACAAACTTTGTTACAGTATTGAATAATTTTACAATAAATTTCATTTAAACTTAATTTTATTTTTAAATGTAACATCTAAGAATTCTTATGCTATCATGCACTGTCTAATGGAAAAAATCCTATAAATAAAAATATATAAATTATAATTTCTAATCTTTTCAGTCTGATTTGTTGAAAATAGCGATCCAGATAGCCAATGGAATGATGTATTTATCATCGCAACACTTCGTCCACAGAGATTTAGCTACCAGAAATTGCCTTGTTGGAGAAAATCTTAGCGTAAAAATATCAGATTTTGGAATGACCAGAGATATATATACATCTGATTATTATAAGGTTAGTAAATACCGTTATTTTTTAAAAATAAATTTTAGTTATTTCAGGCATTCAGTTTAATAAATTTTTAGATTGGAGGATCGAGAATGTTGCCAATAAGATGGATGGCACCCGAAAGTATCACCTATGGAAAATTTTCATTAGAATCTGATGTATGGTCATATGGAGTTGTTCTTTGGGAAATTTATACTTTTGGTAAACAACCATATTGTGGACATTCTAATGAAGAGGTAAATTGTTTTAAAATTATCTTTAACTTTGTGTAATTAATATAAAATATATATCATGTATTTTGCATGTATAATAAAATCAAGAAGTCTGAAAGTAGAATACCTTTTAAGTTATAAAAACGAATAATTAATTTATTAATTATTCATTTTTATGAATACAGTTAAATACAATTTATTTAAAATTATAATTTGAATTTTTATAGCATTTGTATGGATTAACTTTAATTCAAGAGCAGTATTTCACTGCTTGTAATCCGACAAAAGTCGTTACACAAAATGGTCTTATCTTTATTAATATTTCTTTCAGAAAATACATTTGTACCACATCAAATGGAAATTAAGTTTACCATTTATTCAATGTTCTATTCGTTAATACGAGAATGTTTCCTGAAGATAATTTCTTGAAAATGTTCAAATTTCTTTCGAATAATTTATACTGAAATTAAGTTTACCATTTATTCAATGTTCTATTCGTTAATACGAGAATGTTTCCTGAAGATAATTTATTGAAAATGTTCAAATTTCTTCAAAACCATACTTGAAGTAAATTAAGTATGCTTTTCCAGATCAGTTTTCCTGAACTATTTCCCACTATTTATTTTTAGTTACAATAGAAAATTAATTTTAATTATAGAGTGAAATAAATGCTAATAAGAGCAATTAGCATCCTACAGGAAGTAAAAAAAACTTTTTTCTTTAATTGAGATAATTTTTAATGTAAATATTTGCATTAAATATATTAAACATAAAGCACATCCTTATTCTGTCATTGTGATTTATTGCTGTTTGATTTGAAGCATGAAAGTTTCAATAGAGTTAATGGAATTGTATATATTTATGTCCTATTTGTTTCAGAGAAGTAGTTTTTACTGCTTTATGTTTTTTACTGCTCACTGCTTTATATTTGACTAAAATGACATGATATGTTAGTGTAAATTAGTTTTGATGACCGATGAAAGAGGTTGAAAATGTGTTTTGTGATTTAAATTTTTCTTGCTGGATTTTTTGTTATTTATGTTCATTTTGATGAATCTAAATTTAGAATTATTCATTTTGTATTCACTTTTAAAGGTTTATACAGATATTTAGTAATAACCATACAAAATATTTTTAGAGTATCCATAAGATAAGATCTTACAGATATTCTAAGATCTTAAAATTCTTAAGTCAAATGTATGTGTATAATATAAAGGTGATTCCAAAACTATGATTGTGCCTTTAATTTTCAGTATTGAGCACTCTTCAACATTGAGGTTGTTTGTGTTGTCGTTTTAAATTTTACTACTGAATATAAACTTATCCTGTTTGATTGTTGCTGCTGAACAATTTATAATTTCCATTTGTTCATCATTACAATTAATATTTATATGTAGTCATTTATGCATGGAAAATATTTAAGACATGTAGTTCTAATTCATGTAGACTTATAATAAAATCAGCTGCAATAAACTGTTGATTGTTCTCTCTATTTCAGTCACCAAAAGTAAACATTTTTGGTGGCTGAAATAGAAAGAACAATACACAAAGAGATCTCATCTTTATGTAAAATATCACTGCCTATGCACTATTGCTGCTATATCAATACCATGGAGTTAATAGATAAAGATTAAATTATTTCAAAAATGGAATTTCTTTATTTAAATACTGTATTACTTATGGCAGACTGCATTGTTTTCAATGTGCTTCTACCAAAATTTTTTCCAGAAACTGCAAAACATATTACGATTATTAATAGCTGAAGATAAAACAAATTTATATGAAATTGTAGGTCAGTTATACATAAAATATTCCGTATTAAAAAGTTATAAAATGAAAGCAGCTGATACTTTCTATGTTTACTGTTTTCAGTTGGCCAGGTGCCAGCATGACAGATGCATTATAAATGTGGTATATGTATCACTGGCATTAAGCCAACTTGTCACCTATGAAATGTGTAAAAATAATAAAAATATTATAAATAAATTTTAGTTATACTCAAATGCTAAATATCATTTTAGTCATAGCTCATCACTGAATATTTTGTCAAGATTAACTATGTATAGTTGGATAATGGCATTTGCTGTAGTNTAAAATAATTCGGTTAATTAACTGAAAGAAAATGATTATAATTTGAATTTTTGTGATACAATTTCAGGTGGTGAGGCAAATACTGCAAGGTACCTTACTGAGGCCTCCCGAAGGATGCAGTCCCTTTATATGTGAAGTTATGGCCGGTTGTTGGAGGAGTGAAACGAAAAGATTAACTTTCCCAGAAATTTATAATATATTGGTATCAAAAGATCCAGATAGAGAGACTCAAGCATCAAACGATATCGATGAGAGAGAAAGTGATAAATTATTGAGTGAAGATAATTATTTGGTTCCAAAACTCCCCTCGTTGACAGTTATATAGATTTTAGTATCTTCAAAACAGATTCTGCTGGTCATTCAGACCAAATGGTGCATTACTATTTTTGTCCAGTACTTTATTGGGGATGCTTCTGGTATACGAATGCCACTTTCATAATAAGAATTCTATGAATTACGCAAAATTTTACGTTTTAATTAAAACTTTAGTTTAATTTTTTATGAATTTCACTAATTTTTAATTGTTTTTTTTTATTATTAAATTTTCTTTATAATATCGAAACTAAACTCGTATTTATATTTTAATATTTATGCCATTTTATAATTTGTCTAACTTATTCAGACTTTGATGATTTAATAAAATGTTATTTTAAAACCAAATCTTAGTATTTAATTTATTAAATAATATTTAAAAGTTATTTTAAATTAATTTTTTTATTATGAAAAATCACATAAAAATATAACTTTTTACTCGTATCTGTTGCATTTGCTCAACAAGTTTTATAGATATTTTAACTAAATTATATATAAATGTATAATTTATTCAATGCATTTTCGAAATTTAATCGAATTGATCTTAATATATATTTTTTAAATTTATAAATAATCCGGTTTGAAAAATCATTACTTTAAGTTAAATTGTTATTTTATTGAAAGATCATTAGATTAATGCAATTCAGTTCAATCGATTATTTCCTTGATAAATAATAGGATTTTATGAAAAATTCGAAGTTTGTTGAAAGAAACATGGCATCTGTTTTAGTCATTTTAGTCATGATAAATGAGAAAAGAGAGATAATGAAAATTGTATTATTTTTCGGATTTATATTATCCAAAATACACGAATTTAATATAACGCTGAAAATCTATCTGAAAAGTCTCTCAATAAACTTGTTAAAAGTTAAGAAAGTTAACAAATTACATTATTATTATCGTTAGCAAATTGAAAACTTCACATAATTCCCTTAAAAACAAATAATTGTTTCTTTTAACTTCATAATGTTGTTATTACTCGATATATGAAAAATTAAATGATTAATTATGAATAATTATAATACATATTATTTAAACAATTAACTCTTATCTATTTTTAAAAGAACTTTTTTAGATCTTTACAAAGTAGGAGCAAAGATAAGTCTTTATCGTTCCTCCACTTTGCATGCACTTCGGCCTTTCTCTTCAGAGTCTGATAGCTTTCTTTTTCTTTCAGATATCTACTCTTCCTTCATACCCAAATATTTTTTCTTCCACTATATAATGTCAAAATGTGCCTTTCTTTTTCTTTTCTCAATACCAAGTTTCTCAAAGTTATACGATCCGTATATCAGTTAAATTGATAGAATAACAGATGAACAGCGGATCTTCTATCCTCCTGTCCATTTCTTATCCTGTAAAATCATCCTAGTTGATGCCAAAATATCTTTTTATGCAGTAATCTAAGTATAAGATAAAGTAATGCGTAAAAATATTCTAATTAAACATAGAATTACATCT